GGGGACGCCTGAGGCAGAGCAGCTGGGGTGCTTCCGGGCCAGTCCCGTAGCGCCACCCCTTGGCACTGGAGGACCAACCTGAGAGCACCCCAGCTGTTCTGCCCCCTGGCTTCTCTGAGTCAGCCGCTGGTCAGTTTCAGCAGCAGCTGAATCGGGGAAGCCGGGGGCAGAGTAGCTCCAATGGTCTGGCTGCCCAGAGCACTTCTGGGTTCCTGATGGTGCTGGACCATCAGGAGTGCTGGACCATCAGATGCTGGACCAATGGAGTTTTACTGTATTTTGTTTGTACTGTGCTTAGAAACATGGATGTAAAGATTGAGTTTCTACCCTACAGAACTTTTTCAGCCTTCTTGAATCCTGGTCATGAATCCTGTTAATACTTTATGCACTGTGGGTATTGAGTAGTTTTGTACATGTCAATGTCACAGCTCAGTGAGTAAAATGAAGCAAGTAAGGCAAAGATTTAGCTATAAACAAGATATAAGAGATCCACAACCAAGATACGGAGAAGAGAAGAACTCTATCAGGATTACAAGCATAAGGTTCTTTTTTCTGCAGTGGCATCTAAGATGACCCTAAATTTGGGAACATTCTGGAAAACTGCTCTTTGGAGGATATGTTAAAAATATTATGCAGCCCCAACCATCTCCCTTCCTTCCTTGCAGCAGCAGTTGGGGCTAGACTGTACCTCCACTGATCTCTCCATGGCCGGCGAAACTTCTAGCATTTTGATCCAAATTTAGTTTCTAGTCTTGCCTTATTTACTATACAGTTCATTAGCTAAAGTTCAAAAGTATGTCTACGCAGAAGCTTTGTGGTATGATTACTACCTCTGCGCAAGATAGAATGCTTAAAAACAGCCATGTAGCTGCAAACTGCATGAATGGTGGCTTGCACTAATCACCCAAATATAATCCCATCTGACCACCTGGCTATGTACATGGATAGCTAGTATGGAAGAAGGCGGTAAGGAACAGATGAGAGACCTGAAGAGCAGCAGAGAATTGCTTGAGAGAAAGATCTGCAGGAAAGCTCAAAGAAAGCAGTAACTGTGGTTTGCTGGTGAAAAGTTCAAAGAAAACTGCTGGATGACGGGTTAAAGCCAGGGAGCCCTGCAAAGTTGAGGGAAGGCTGATGCAGTGGCCACTAGGAACAAGGGAAGAGCCAGCGTGGTTCATGTAAACCAGGCTCAGAAGTAAGGGTTGATATAAGAAGACTGTCCTAAGGAGCAGGTATGTAGGACTTGCCGGCAAGGAGATCTGGAAAGTGTAACACCACAGGCAGCCCTTTAACAAAAGACCTGCAGCGGAGGGCTGCAAGGGGAGCCCTGGAAGGAGATTCCCCTAAGCAAGGGAGGCAGGGGGGAGTTTGGTGGCAGGAGGGGGGGGGGGAATTAAATTCTGTTGGGAGTTGTTTGAGAGAGCCACCTTGGGGCCATAGGAGAAGACTTGAGGCAGAGAAGTGGTTCTTGGAACTCTTGGGTGGAAACCTAAAGAAAGAGGGCCTGGAACAGACACTAAGTAACTGACAGTGATTCATGATTCTCGGGTTGGTGATCTTCAACAGTGGCTTCTCAATGGGATTAAAGAGCTGCTGTGTTGGAGCCTTGTTTTACTTTAGGGGGTTGAAAGGAATTTTTGAGGGGTTTTTTGGTGCCCTAAAGAAAGGGATCTGTGCAGTGTGGCATTTGATGTGATTAAAAGGGTTGGAATCTGTGATTTGCTGCTAATAGAGGCAATGTTCTTTTTTGTATGGGTGGCTGAAGGGGAAACTGAGTTAGGTGTGTGGGTTGTTTCTTGCCTGCTCTACACGCCTACTGTGTCTTTCCTTTTGTCTTCGAATTAAACAAAAGCACAAAACCTGCCACTGGAGGAAAAAATATTGAGCTTCACATTGTTCAGGAGAAGACTTGAGTGGTAGTATAGAAGTTATGCAGATGAGGCTTTTTCAGAAGGTGCTGGCTCTCTAGTCTGCAATTATCTAAAGCAGTGGTTCTCAACCTGTGGTATGTGGACCCCTGGGGGTCCATGATGGTACTGTGGGGGGTCTGTGGAAAGTTGAGGAAAAGTAAGGATCAGACCCACTGTGGGACTGGTGACTCTCACCCGGGACTCGCTGTTTGCAACCGGCTGCACACATGTTGCCTCCTGCTCTGGGGACGGAAACTTGATACCTCAGGACCCACCATCCATCCTCCTGCCACCAGCTGCGCTGCCGTTTACGCTCCAGCTCTCTCCCTTCTCCAAGTTCTATGGTGGGACCGATCCTTTTCCTTTCCTTATTTTTCCCCCTCCCCCAGGGCTCTGTGCCCGGCCAAGGGTGGACTGCTGCGGCAGGAGCTGCCTTTGTCCCCAAGAGCCCCCTCACTGTATCCACCATGGATGGGCAGGGTATGGAGGGGGTGGGAGCTGAGGAAGAAGCGCAGGCTAAGGGATGTGCTGGCCACTGCTTCCTGCCACTCCCCTTGGGGGGGGTGGGTCTAAAATTTTAACAGATTGAGAAGAGGTCTGCATGCTCGAAAAGGTTGGGAACCACTGCACTAGAGAACAAACTAGATGAATTTCTAGGAAAGCACAAAGCTAGTTATTAGAACCTAATGTACCAGACAACCATTCATTTTGTAAACAGGTGCTGAGGGAAGGTTTAATTTTAAAGGAGAATTCAGCTCCAGTAAAACTTGGTGCCGCTGCTGTTACTTAGGAGAAATAAGACTTTCATTCACACTGGTCATCTTCTCTCATCAGTTTACTTTCTACAGCCTATTGTATCAGACTAGTTTTAGATTGGCTCAGAACTGCAGTTTTTGTTGTATCTGTCTTTTGTGCAGTACAGTGAAGTTAGTGAGCGGTTATTCTGTGGCTGTTGTAAATAGATATATTGAGGATCCTGGGAAAGTTACTTGCAGCGTAAAACTGGCCGAAGGATGGGAGACCAGAGAGGGACAATTGGGGCTACTTTGCTTCAGAAAAATTATTGGGCCTAGTGAGAACAAATAAGAACTATAGGGTTAGAGCAGGGGATTGAATGTTGAGAGAGGGACTTTGTGCTCCACTCTGCTAAATGCTGTGTGTAACCTCAGGTAAGTAATTTAACTTTTCTATCTGTTTCCTCATCTGTAGAATGAGTATATGTCATGTAACATGCTTTAAGAGTCTCCAAATAAAAGGCATTCTGTACATCAGAATTTCACAGCTTCTGTTGGTGCCCCATCTTGGGTGGGATGGACACAGGTATGCCCTCTATTTCACACTAAATGCTGCCATCTTACTGTGCCTTTTCTCTTACCTCTGCTTTTCCATCCTTTCCCTTGTCACTCGATCTGTAACTGATTCCCTTCTTTTTTTCACGTTCTCCCCACTCTGTCTCTCCTTTTATAGCTCTGCTTCCCCCATTCATCAAGTGGCTAAATAGTATGCACTTGGGTTGGGAGGAGTCTCTTGGGTCCACCCAATACTGAACAGTGGCTGCTGCAGCTTCAACTTGCAGCATTGTATGTGAGTTTCTCTTGTAGGCGCACAGAGGTAAAGTTGGCTGCCTTTCAAAGAGCTTTGCCTACAGGCATTTGTTTACCAGCAGCATGTCTGAACCAAACCCGTAGGGATCTGGATTTCCGCAGGTTCCCCACTCACACTGATGGTCTGTATTTCCCTATGTCCATTCCCTTTTCTCCCTCTCTGGACTAGTTTAGTATTTCTCACACTGAGGTGATCCTAAAGATGTAGAATAGTACTGTCAAGATAATTTCTATCCAAGAAACTGCCCTCAGTGTCTCTTCTTTCTCTGGAATCTGCAGTGAAAGCAGAGTTGGACGTACCAGTTTCAAGAGCTGCTGTATTTTAAATCTTTGAACATGAGTGGTGCAGGGGAAGGGATATCAAGTGCTGATACTCCTCACCATAGCATTCTAAGTCTACCATGTCCACTTTTTCATTCATCTTTCATAAGCAGAGCTAAAATTGTTGATCATGTTATTTTGTACAGTGAAAAACATAATCCATCTCTGAGACATCGCAACTAATACAAGCATAAATGTACTGAAATGTATCCTTAGTATAAATCTCCATGTTACAGCCAGAGAAAAATACAGAGTCCGGTATATTTTGGTCCATTTTATAATGATAATAGCAGCATTTAATTTATTTTGCATCTTTCAAATTGCACACATGTAAAACAATTAAATGTTAACTACTCTGAAACTTGTTCCATTGACAAGTATTCTCCTTATCCTTGAAAACTAATGAATGCAGGGAAGAGGAAGAATTTAATATGGCTAAAAATATGTCCCAAGCAGTGTGATAGACCGAATCATATTGGGCACTGAGTTGTCATAATTTTTGTAAAATAGTAACTCTAGAAGAAATTAGACGTGCTGAGTTATTTTGAATAAATGCACATGTTTTTCAAAACCAGAAAGGCTGATCTATAGTGTAGTCTTTGGTCTCTGCTCAATCCAGGCTGCAATAGCAGGAAGTGCTTGTACTCTCTCTTTCAGAGCCAAAAGTTTTGGATAGTTGTCCACCAGGCCAGGCCTAAGGACCAGAAAAGTTGTACTGCACACATCCCAGTAGAAATCAGCCCAGGTTACCTGGTGAAAACAAAGTGTAAAACAATTACTCAATGAGCATATGTGATCAAATAGCAGAACTATTAACATGGATGAGCTATAGTGAATCTAAACTGATGAACTGCATTTTAAATTTGGTTTGGGCCCTTCTATGTCCACAGTCTTTTGCCTCTTCAATCTGCAAGTACAGAAGTTACTCCTGGTGAAGCTACAATTTGTTGCTTTTAGCGTAAGGGGGTATGTTTAGGACCTATCCATGCTGTACGTTTTAATCATGTTGTAACTTGACCCACTGACTTAACTCCAGCTAAGGATAGGGGTCTGCGCCTGCACGGTTGAGAAATTGTTTGAATTGATTTTTAAAGTGTTATGAACCAGTTCAGTTTATACTTAGTTTCCATATGCCAGTAAATATGGACCGGATCAATCTGTGCTAACTGACCATGGAGACCCAGTGTCGAATCTTGGGGCTTTTTAAGTAAAGGCTAGAACACTTACTCTATTTTCAGTTCAAACACATGCTGCAGCCACACTGACCAGTAGTGATGAAAATGATTTGATTCAAAACTGTTTTAAACTGGTTCTACAAACATGAATCTAGGAGTGTGGACCTGAAATTGTGAGGGTACTCAGCCTGAAAGCATGGTAGGAAGGAAAGCAAAGAATTAAAACCAACACAAAACAAAGGATGTTTCTCAGCTCTCTTGTTGGGAAGGCAAAAACTGTTAAATTTCCTCCAGTTTGCTACAGTAGCAAGGGGATTTGAAAGAGGAAAAAAAGATACTCACAGATTTCCCAACCAGCCACTTTTTATCCCCTAAGAAATTATCCAAATCTTGTAGTAGTCCAGGAGCTGTATTAGTTAGGAGGTCGTTATAGATCTGTTGCTGGGGAAAAAAAAGAATAAGTGGAGAGGGTGATCAAATTTGGTTCTTCCAATTTCTTGAGGGAATAAATATGGGTTTGCAAAATTTCATGACAATGGAATCATTTGATTTCATGAGTATAACCTGAAAAATATGTATTGATATTTGCTTGGCTGGTATTTATATAGTGGTTATACACCTCATCTTTACAGTAGTTGCTAGTGCAACAAAAGGCTAAACATCTCAGAGCAAAACAAAAATGCTTTTTTTCTTTTAAGAGAATTGTTGCCTTAATTTGACCTGATATGACTCAAACAATTATCTGACAACTGAAAAACCTTACATATGTCTCCAATGGATGCTGCCCTTTTGTAGTTCTACCCATTTTCACAATGATAGTCTCTGAAGCCACTTTGTGTTTGTACTCTCTCTCTCTGTCAGGTTCTCAGTTGCTTCAGCGTTTGGTTGTTGCTCCTCCAACCCAGGGAGGAAGCAGGAGAGCTTTCTCTATGCTTTCCTCCAAGGGGGAGCAGTGAATGTTTTCCAGTGTCTGCCAAATGTTCTGGGTTTTTAATGACCTCATGGTTTGAGGCTTGGTTCAGCACCTGTATTTTGCTGTGAAAAATGTCAAGGGAGGCTGACTTTTGTGAGGTGATTACTAAGTACCTCTAATTGACTGTAATAAGTTTTCTGGGTGTTGCCTCTCATGTTGGGCTGGTCAATGTGCAAATGTCTCTGAGGTCACTGCCTTAGCATGTCCACTCTTTGTGAGGTTAATGGCTCAGCTCATATGTTTTGCTCTCCTGATGTGGCCAGTTGCTTCTGGTCTGATGTCAAGCAGGCTTTTGAGAGCTTTTCACTTAGCACCTCTCAACTTTTTTGGTCTAGAGTCAAAAGCCATTTCTCTGAAGTTCACTGGCTGATGAGCTCATCTAGTGAACAGATGTCCGGGCTCAGGCTTAGATGATGTGCTTTCTCTTATCCTGAGCAGATGACAAGATGCAGAACATAGTGAGATTACTGGCTTAGCAGCTTTGGCTGTGCTGATGTTAAGGCAGAGGACTCACTGAGGACCTTCAGCCTGCTGGTCTGATGCTGGAAGGCATTCCTATGTAATGTCACTGGCTCAGCTGCTCAAACTTGCAAAACGGGTTGAGGAAGGTTTCTCTTCAAACATTCTCAATATATTACAATCTCAAACCCAGAGATAGGAAAGGGCAGGTCCACCTTACAGGGACATGTCCACCTAAGGTATGCAACTCCAGCATACCTTAGATCGAGTTGCCACTGTGTCAACAGGAGAAACTCTCCCATCAATTTCATTACACCTCTTGTTCTGGTGGAGTATCGAAGTCAATGAGACAGTGATTGATTTATCAGGTCTTTACTAGACCTGCTAACTCAATCCCTGGGGGATTGCCTGCCACAGCACCAATCTTGGAGTAAGTGTAGACCTGCCCTTAGAGTCCTGCACGTTAGGAGGTCCTTAGAGAGGTAGCTGCAACTCTTACCGTCAAGGCATTGACAAACATCTGGTAGTGAGTCACCATTCCTCATATGTTTGATATGAAAAGGGCTGGTAACTTGAATTTTTCAGAAGCACTCAGCCTGAACCAGATTTTCCCTGTATCATTTTGGTTAACTTTTTAGTCTACTAATCATTTTCATATTTCCTTGGCAAAGAGGGTTGAGGTATTCATGTTTTGAAAGGTAAATCCTTATTGTATTCAGTTGTTTAATAATTGTAGATTGATTCTTGTTGCATAGCACCCCATATGTGCCTGGCACTTCACATAGCAAGTAAAGACATGAGTTCTGTCCAACATTACTTATACTATTGCACTTCTGGAAATCTTTCTCTACTGCAGACATTTGACAAGCTCTATAACTGCTAGGTAGGCTCACTGTTATGTAATAACATGGCTTGCTCTCGTTGCCATTTATAATGATTATTAGCCTTTCAGGGAAAAATTATTGATGATGTTTGCTTCACATAGCAAGTAAAGACATGAGTTCTGTCCAACATTACTTATACTATTGCACTTCTGGAAATCTTTCTCTACTGCAGACATTTGACAAGCTCTATAACTGCTAGGTAGGCTCACTGTTATGTAATAACATGGCTTGCTCTCGTTGCCATTTATAATGATTATTAGCCTTTCAGGGAAAAATTATTGATGATGTTTG